AATAATAATAAATGTCACACTTGCTTCTAAAGTGATTCTGTGCATTGGAGCTCCTATCTTGTCCATTCTTATGACAACCCTTTGAGGTTGTAATTCCTATTTCACTTAAGGGGCAATGACTGATGGATAGTAGCACTCTGTACATGAGTGGATAAGATACTCTTTTGGATCCAAAATCCATGCACAGTGCTTTGGGCTACGTATCTTCGATACCAGTCTGGTATCTTGAGCGTTGGTCTGTGCATTGGAGCTCCTATCTTGTCCATTCTTATGACAACCCTTTGAGGTTGTAATTCCTATTTCACTTAAGGGGCAATGACTGATGGATAGTAGCACTCTGTACATGAGTGGATAAGATACTCTTTTGGATCCAAAATCCATGCACAGTGCTTTGGGCTACGTATCTTCGATACCAGTCTGGTATCTTGAGCGTTGGTGTACCAGGTGTTATAGTCAAATACTGGATAAAAAAATAATTTGATGACTGTGTCATTGAAGCTGCACTTGGGTGGCCAGTAGAGGTGCACTCTTTCATATTTTTGGGGCTGGAACTCCCAGAATTCTCCAGTAATTCCCCAGGGAGAATTCCGAGTGCTGCACCCCATAAACATAAATCTAAACCAGTTCTCAAGGTCCTTCATGCCTGGTCAGTCAACACCCCCTTCCCCATCAGGACCTCCAGGGTGTGGGGCATATCGGGAGTCATAGGCTCACTGCCCATAGATTCTAGAGAGAGAGGATGCCTACCAAAAAGTTAAGACTCTCAGGGAACACTGCAGCAGGAAGAGGAAGTTGGGAGAAATAAAGCCAGTATCGGACATAAATAACCTGAAAGCTTTTTATCTGTGGGCATGGATTCTAGGCATCTGCACATTTGTGTTTGTGGGATGCATTTCCCAGAAATCTGCCTGAGTAGTTTTTTGAGAATTCAGGAAAAATTGCCATCCCAAAAACATGAAATAGCATGCTGCCCCTAGTGGCCAGATGCGAAAGGGACTGAGGCTTCTCTACTATGTATTCTTAATCTTCTTGTTAAAAAAAAATACCAAGCATAGTCAGCAAACATTATAAAAGCATTGACTGGTGTTATATAACAGATACAAATCTTAACCAAAAAGCTAAATGTCTGTTAGATATTGGTGCAGTTTGTATGCTGTTCCCATAATTGCTGGTTTTTGTAGCTCTGACGATGTTATTTCTGAGATCCGTTACTGCTTATAATACTATTTGAATTTTCTTGATGTTGTTCTCAAAGCCCTGATGACTGTGGGGCCCACTGAAGTGTGTTTCATCCAGAGGCGAGATGTTTCAATTGCCAGATCTCTGTAGTTTGTTGGTCGTTGTTATTATTCAAGTCAATTCTGACTTATGGTAACTGTTTTCAGGGTTTTCCAGGTAGAGACTACTCAGAAGTGATTTACCATTCCCTTCCTCTGGGGGGCGCCCTGGGACTGCAGCTTGCCCAAGGCCACACAGGCTGGCTCTTCTCCCAGGAGCCACAGTGGGGAATTAGAACCCCCAAACTCTGGCCCTACATGTGGGTACCTAAACCACTGAGCTACCCAGCCAGCTTCTTAGTTGTATAGGAGGGATTTTCAGCTCATTGCGTTTGTCATGTGAAAGGTGCAGAAGCCCCAGGCTTTTTGCATCGAGTCGTCATGGTGACGCTGTGGAATCGCTTGCCCCGCTAAGTGACAGTTCTGTGTATGGAATTAATGGTTATTTATTTTAAAATAATTGATTAATTTCATTTGCATGTGCTCTTAAGATGCTTTGGGAAGTATATGTCTGTTTTATTTTTTTACTCTGAAGCATGTACATTTGACTTTCCTCTACATTTTATATATTTTCGACACAGGGTGAAGTGTTGCCAAGCCTGTCAGACTACAAACCTTCCTTGGCAGTTTTGACAGCTCACAACTGGCTTCTTCGTGTCTCTGTTAATACAGGAGAAATACTTGAAAAGGTGTACCTTGCTTCCCATTGCAAATTCAGGTAATAAACGTAGGCTTACTGGAAGATTGCTTGGATTAGTGTATAATGATGAACAAAATTCTGTGTACATTCAGTAGTGCGATTGTTTTGGACCACAGTCCTGTGGGCCCTGACTAGGATTTGCAACCTGTTCAACTCAGGCAGCCTTATTTAATTTTTTATATAAAATATTTTTACCCCCGTCTTTCTCCTAAAAATAAAAAAGGGGATCCAAGGTGGCTTACATCATTAAAAATGCGTTCCAATGGGGAAACGCTTTTCGCTAGACAATGTTTTCACAAGACAGAGATTTCAGTGGAATGGATTAACATCATCTAACGAGGCACCACTGTATATTAAAGCCGGCCACCTAATTCAGCCTGCACTTCAAGACTCTCAGGCAGGAGTAATAGGTCATGTGGATGGTAGCAAATGGGATTAAACTGGCTTCTGGAAAGGCCCAAAACCTGTTTGTGCTGGCATTGTTGGGTATCCCGGCTAGCCCACAGATGAAATCAGTTCAAAGTGGGATAGCTAAAGTTAGATTCTCACTTCAGTTTCTAGCAATGCAAGAAGAGAAGAAACCTATTAATCTAGTGAGACAATGTATTCTGCTTATAGATTTCCACAAATCATGGACAGAAATCACGTCCTACACAAAGAACATCCTGCTTTTATCCAAGAGTGAGCATTGGGGCTCTCTTTGATTTTGTATAACAAAACTAAAGCATCCAGAGGGTTGGAGAGCAATTGTACTTGGCACAAATGAATAGTTTCTTTTCTGCAGTAAGACTTGGTCAGTTCAGACAACTAGTGTCAGTGGAGACAACCAGCCGTGGCAGACTTGAAAAATACAAGCTGCAATCCTGCTTAGCGTAAGATAAATTGTAATTTTGTCTCCACTGCGATTCTTGGGGGCTTGTCTCCGCACACCAGGTTGGTGTGTGCATGTGTGCCCCACAGCATCTTGCTGGGGACACTTGGGTTACCGAGGAGACACTTTGCCTTACGCTAAGCAACAGAATTTTGGCCCTTGGGTTGCAATGTGTGATCTCCAACAACAATCTTCTTCCTCTCTGGTAATGACTAACAAACTAGTGCCATCATTTCATTAATGATGAGGCTTGTTCCTTCCATTCAGCTATGTCAGTCTATTTTGTGTGCCTATCTCAGAATGTTGTGAGGTTTTGTTTTGTTTTTTTGTCAGAAGCAGGAAACGTCTGGTCCTTATGCTGGTTTGGTCTCTGACTGCAACCAACAGTGTCGGTGAAAAGGGCCAGTGTGAGTTGCCCTCCAGAACTTTTGGGTGGCAAAGGTTCTCCACCTCACCCTTAGAACGGAGGATCTGGGATAGTCGGGCACCCATAACTGCGCAGTGAATTTAGCCTCATTGACATTTTGCCCCGTATTTCGAGTCCAGGGCCCTTTTAATTCCAAAGAACTTCAAAAATGTAATGGTAAGACTCTCTAAAATATAGATTGTGTTTCTTTTTATGTGTGGTCTGTTCAATTGAACCCCTCATTTCCAATAGGTACCTGAGCTGGGACAGTCCTCAAGAAGTCATGACTGTCAAGTCATCTCAGCAGAAACCCCCAGTAGCTTCACAGCAGGTACGTTGAGGTGAAAATAGGAAATCTAAGAATAGTCACGTTGTGGGTCAGATCAGAGACCTGCCCAGTCCAGCATTCTGCCCATGGGTGTTATGTCATGAGAAGGGATGGTGTGCATGCGAGAGTGTGTGTTTGTGAACATTTATATGTGTTTAAAATGAGAGAGAATTTATATTGTGGAGCAAGTGATTTGTCGTGTGCTTCTTCCCAGGCAGGCAGCCAACCGTCTGTGCTTTTCTTCCTTGGTATCTTCAGTGTTCTGCCACTTACATTTATTGGAATGCTACAGATTGATAAAAAGGTAAGTTTCCAGCCTTACTTTTCTCTTAGTGCTTTCTTCTGTGGTACCAGAAAGTGGATCTGTAGAAATCCCAATCATCGTTTGAGGGGTTTGGGAGCTGGGGAGTAAACCCTGAGAAAGCTCAACTCCTTTTCCCCAGGTCATGCTAGACCTGTTCCAAAAGGCCACCGCGTTTGATGTTTGATTTTGCCCACCGTCCCATGCAATAAAGCCACTTTTTCGAAGCTTTAGTAAATGTGTATTTAGCCTGCAAGGAACAGCACTGTCACCTTGCCCAGATACAGCTTTATTGCATCTTTATTGTAAGCTATATTTTGATTAAGACTCTGGCACAGGGCAAGTGGAATTAACTTTTCACTCTGCCATTCTTCACTGCTTCCTCTCTCCAAAACTACTATGTGTTCCCTTACTTATGTATATTTTATTTACATGTAGGTTTGCCATAATGAGGCAAATACCAGTTTGGAAATAAGGAAGAGGGAAATAAAATCCTACTTTTCCAGTACTTCAGTCCAAAGACAGACAGACACAGACAGACAGACAGAATACTTCAGTCCAAAAGACAGACAGACAGACAGACAGACAGACAGACAGACACACACACACACACACACACACACACACACACACACAAAAGATGGGTGATCTAGTCATGGATGTGGTTTCAGCTGTAAACCTGGAAATATATAAGCAATGTCTTTTCGAAGGTTTCTATTAAGGGAGAAGAAATCTCTCCTATCCTGTAAATTAGTTCCAGTCTAATCCACGTTCTCATGTACTTTCTTCCTTTTTTTCTCCAATGGGAATAAATAAATGTTTTGAACTACATTTCCCAGCCACCATGGCCAGGTTTACCCATTTTCATGACCAGTGAAACAGACCTTGTGGAGCAAGTGATATGAACAGTGTTGTTGTTGTTAACCAACAGGCACAGCCAGTCAAAATTATAAAAACATTGACTGGTATTATAGAACAGATACAAGTTTTAACCAAAAACCTAAGTGTCTGTTAAATATTGGTGCAGTATGTATACTGTTCCTAATATTGCTGGTTTTTTGTCGCTCTGGTGGTGGTGTGATTTCTGAGATCTGCAACAGCTTATAGTACTGTGTGAAATTCTTTATTATTGTTCCCAAAGCCCCAGTGACAGTGGGGACCACTGAAATGTGTTTCTTCCAGAAGAAGGAGGTTTTGATTGCCAGGTCTCTGTACTTTGTTAGTCCTTCTTCTCCTTCTCCTTCTTGATTTATTACATTTATATCTTGCTATTCCAGCATTAAGCTTGAGGCAGCAAACATGGCTTTGATCCCTACTTTATCCTCATAACAACCTTGTTCGGTGGATTAGGCTGAAAAAGAGCATCACTGGCTCTTCATCAGCCAGTGAGTTCCATGGCCGAATGGGGATTCGAACCTCGTCTGACACAATGTAATCGTTAGCATAGCGTTGGCCTTAGAAAGCTCTACCAGAGACTCTGAATTAGGCATGTGACTTTCATATTCTGGGGGGCTGGAAATCCCAGAATTCACCTGGAATTTCCCCAGGTAGAATTCTAGGAGATACAACCAAATCCAGCAGTTTACAGAGGAGGTCTTGCTACCAACAATGAGCTTCTTGTCCATTATTCAGCTTTTAAGAAGGGGTAAGCTTGCCCTAATCGGGATGTGGTGGCGCTGCGGGCTAAACCGCAGAAACCTCTGTGCTGCAAGGTCAGAAGACCTGCAGTCGTAAGATTGAATCCACCTGACGGAGTGAACGCTCATCGCTTGTCCCAGCTCCTGCCAACCTAGCAGTTCGAAAGCATGCAAATGCGAGTAGATAAATAGGTACCACCATGGTGGGAAGGTAATGGCGTTACATGTCTAATTGCACTGGCCACGTGACCACAGAAACTGTCTATGGACAAACTCTGACTCTATGGCTTGGAGATTGGGATGAGCACCGTGCCCTAGAGTCGTACACGACTGGACTAAATGTCAAGGGGAACCTTTACCTTTAAGCTTGCCCTGGTGCAGTCTGGGAGTGGCAAGGCTGTATGGGAACAGTAAATTAATTACTCTTGCTGCCCATTAGTGTCTATAAAAGGCACCTTTCAAAGACTCCCATGCAGATTTGTTACTCCCAGACAACACTGAGGCACTTTCCTCCTCCTTCTTGACAGTCAAATAATGGGCGAGAAGCCCAACTACGGATAAGAAAACATCCTTTGTAAACTTCTGCTTTTGGCTGTATCTCTCAGAATTCTGCCCGGGCGGCAGGGGGCTGGAATTCTGGGCAAATTCTGAGAGTTCTACTCTGGAAGAAACTAAAGTCCGAGGTCTGCTCAGAACAGCTGTTTGCCAGTCAGAGCAAACCATACTGGGTTTGATGGCCAGTTAGCCTGACATGTTATAAAGCTACCTTGTGTCTTCCTCACACCAGAAAACTTTTTAAGGTGGTATTTCTCTCAGTGGCAATTTTTTCTCAAAGGAGGGAGGGTTGTTCTGCTGATCTTTCTGGTCATGAGATATTTTTCTTTCTTCCAACCAGGTCTTTGGGAACACCATGACAGATGTTGCCATGTCCCATGGCATGCTCATTGTGACACATAGCTCAGGTCTTGTCAGGCTGTATAGCTTCCAAACCATCTCCGAGCAGGTAAGGGAATGCAATTATTTCGTAGTAGTCCAGTAGCATCATCAGTGTGCCCAGTATTTTAGGGTAACATGATCTACCAGCTCCAGACAGATGGTAGGGGACAAGCAGAGGAAAGGGAGAGAGGCAAGGGTACGGAGGATTAATATGAGCTCTGAAGAAATGCATCAGTCCTCAGCGCTGACACACATTTGGTTCCTGAGCCATATACATGGGAAGATCAGCTTTCAGCCAACTTGGTGGTCCTAGACAAAGCATTATAAAGGCACATGTGAGAACAACAATATAATGTCAGGGCTTGGAACCCTGTTTGCTTGAAGCATCTTGTCCTGTTGGTCTTTGTTCCACTGATGAAACTTAAATCTGTCCGTGGATCTGAGTGAGGAGTTATTCCTACCCTACCCCGAAGACTTTGAGGTGACTTCTAGACGAGTCTTCTGTTTATATGATATAGGGCTCTGTGCAAAGTCTCAAAATTAAACACAATTTAACAGAGTAGGCCTTTGGTCTAGATGGGCGGGATAGAAATCCAATAAATAAATAAATAAACAGGCTTGTCCTCTTGAAGGCCTCCTCTTTGAGAAGCGCATATTTGGACCGACTGATCTCCTCACAGTCTGAAACGTTAAAGACACTCATAGTGTCGCTGCTTCAAGTGTTGGCCTATAAATGTTGCTGGATTGCTCTTTATAATGTAGGCTTGCATCCAAATGGCCATTAGGCTGAGGGGATAGAGAAATGTAGCCCCATGAAGCTATACAGTAGCCTAGGACTTTTGAGTGGAGTTCCGAAAGCGTGTGGGCATCTGGGAGAATGGAAGGAGGAGAATGTGGTGAGTAAGGAAAGGGCCGGCTGTGTATGAATTGTACCACCTGGAATGTGTTGGGTTACGATTCCCGTCTTTGCTGTGGATGATGGGAATGGAGGTCTGACACACCTGGCAGGTGCCAAGCTGGAAGAGGCACCTGTTCTGAGCTAATAGGAAGTCTTAAAAAGGAGTTTGTGATAACAGTAGCCCCTCGCCAACAAAATATCTGGATTTGGCGTCACTTTTCTCATCCAGCATGTGTCCACTCAGGAGGCGTTCTCTATGAGTAGTAGTTCTTCTGTGAGTGAAAGAGGGATCTAGCTCAGTGTGCCAAAAGTGCCAAGTAATATCTTCCGTTCTTTATACTGCTCTTTCTCTTCACTGGCCTTTATTTCTGGTTACTGCTGTGTTCTGCTGGAAACCAGATTAAGAAACAAGGTGGGACTTCAACATAAATAAACTTGTTTGAGGCTATTATACACGCTTGCCTGTTGGTAGTTTTTTCCTGATCTTGGTGGGATTTACTTCTGGGTACACAAACATAGGAAATGTGCCGTAGGGGTGTACAGATTGTAGTAACCTCATATATATGTCAAAAGAATTAATTTTATTCTGTATTATTTTTAGTTCATGCAGCACCAGGTGGATCTGGGACAGGAGTACAACTGGAATGGCAAAGTTGGAATTGTGGGGAGATACCCTTTTGGCATCCCATGTAACATTAAAATAACAGGTATTAGAGTCAATGCACAGAAGGGCTGGCCCGCATTCAAATGTGTTTCAGTTTTATGCCAGTTTAGCTCACTCGGCTTCCCTCAAGATGTCTTGGACTTGTTATATGAAGGGCTGAAAAGAGAACTTCCCTGCTCCTCATGGAACTAAGGTTCCCTGGAAAGAATGAATTATGGTTAAACCAATCCATTTCTGTCTATAGTTCAGAAATGTCCAGATGGTCTCTTAATAATATCAAAGGTCTACTACTGGGTGATTTGCATTATCGTTCTAAAATGCCTAAGGCTAAGAAAAAAAAAGTGTGCCATTAATTAAATCGTCCAGACATCTGTTTTGCATGCTGCTAATTAAATGAAAAGTGGCATGGATTCCCATTATCACCCTTTCAATAATGGCCTAAATCTAATCTCGAGGTAGGAGGAACCCCCTAGTGCAAGAGGGTTGTTGGAGGAGAGGGGAGGAGAGGAGGTGTGTCTTTAGTGGCCTAAAAGGATGTTTGAGATAGTTCCCTAGCCCTCCACTGGAAATGTTGAAGGTGCACCGGGGGGTAGAACCCAACCCCGCTTCTACTTCAGTTCATGGAAGCAGTTCTGTCATCAGAATGACCCCACTGGATCATGGTCATAGACCGGTGTGTCCTTCTACATTGGCTAGAAACTCACACCCTGTGTGATCTGTTTTCAAAGTTTTACTCGGGAACAATAGAATGATGAAGCTGTTCTTCTTAGGAGGGTTCTTAGCCTCTGATGTTCTCCCTAGATACTCCAGATCTGCTTTTTGAAGTGTCTTCCCTTGAAAGCACATTTCAGATCGGAGGATACCCTTGGCATTACATCTTCACTCCCAACAAGAAGAGTCAAAAGGGGATCTTTCACATTTGCTCTTTGAAAGACCACACTTTGGTAACGTGTTTGGCTGATCTTCTGCTCATCATTCCAGAAAGATAGGAGGGGAACGAGACATACCTGGCTGTTCACCCGAGATTTCCTTACTGTCGATTTTGCTAGAGAAAAGGAGAAGCAAAAAGCTGCTTTACCCTTATTGTCCCTTCTGTCAGAAAGTTTTGTATAGATTTCCTTCCATTACTACATTGTGTATTGGGGGGGGGGGTTTGGTTCATTAAAAAAAAGTAGTCAACCACCATCCAGTCTGCATCTTTGTAATTACAGGAGCTGATTACAAAACTGGTAATCTGTGAAAAAGACAAAAATGCATGTGCCACAATCTCATTATGGCTTGTTACATCTTTATGCCAATCTTCAGTATTTAGGAAATAGCGACCAAAATCACGGCTGCGTAAGGACAATGACATTTCTAGCAGGGGGAGAATTCCTGTGATTGAAGAGTTTCTGCTTCTGTTCCACATTTTGTCTAACACTTGTGCAATCGGTGTCTTTGCACACAAACCATACGAGCTGAGAGGCAGAAGCAGGAACTTTTTAATTACCAAAAATCTGCCCTTGCTCCCTACTTCAGGAGCAATTAAAACATAAAACAAGTACAAGGCAAGTTTGAAAACTTAATCAGTAGAAAAAAAATTGCAGCTTTCATGTGCTTGAAAACTCTTTGTGCAGAAACCAAAGTCAGTTGATGAATGAATGAGAAAAAAGTGTTTGCCTGGCAGTGACAAGACAGTGAAGCACTGCGGACTTGGAAAATCTGTGTTCACATTCTTAAAATGGGAGAACCCCATTTATAGTGCATGTCCAGAACTTCCAGTAGGAAGATCAAGACAAGAAAGATGATAGAAATTCTCCACGTAGACATGATGTTTCTGTTTCCTTTGCACTGTTTGACATATTTACTATGTCATCGTTTCAGGCAAAGAACGGCATACAGGATATGCAGTGTTGCTCCTTGGAACCTGACTGGATATCTTTCCACCCAGACAGTTCTGGAAGGATACTACACGTGGGACCAAATCTGGTTAAGTAAGTGCTGGCTGAAAACTAGCCTCTGCCAGTCTGTGATTTAACAGTTCTTCAGTCTTCATTGAGGGTGTAAGCTGAACAGGCTGAAATAGCCAAGATTTCAAGCTTCTTACCAATATATTTTGAAACGGACTCGTTGGCAAATTCACAGGCTAGCCCTTTAGCACCGTAGCTGAATAGAAGCCCTGTTTGCCAAGGTCACATACCAGATGCTGAAAAGAACGATGCCAAAAGATCTGTTGCTTAGTTTTGAACTTGCAAGAGCTTCTTGCTGCTAATTAATGAGTCCTCTCTTGGATTCTTGGGTGCCTGCTGGTCCAGTGGGTTGGCATAAGCCTGAAGATCCAAGTGACAGCTTTATTAATTGTCAGTGTACATTATGCCATTTTGTGACACACTGGCCAGAACCCTATTGCTGATGTAAAATTGCATAAGGCAAGCCGAGTTGGACGTGGCAGCAAATTGCCACCGATTAACAAAGTGCTGGTTGCGTTTCTGGGTTTGTGTCGATCACGTGATCAGGTATGTGCGCAGGAACACCTCCAGCACCTTGAGAGGAAGTGGCAGTTAAAGGCCAAGACTTACACAATGTCTCTTAGTCAAGCATAAAATCAGCAGTAGGATTTTGGCCACTGTTTTATCTTGGCTTAATAGAAATTGCCTAACTGGAGTTTGGAATTCTTCTTCTGGACCAATAGAGCTTTACAAGACTGCCGGGTTTGTAGACATCCAACCCTGTGGCCAAACTACTACATTGTTCAGCCCTCTCCATCCTGGTACCCTCCAAGTCTACTTGTCTATAGCCCTCATCATCTCCTTCCAGCACACTACTGCGTGTGCTAGCGAGGGATGGTGGAGGTTGAATTTGGTTTTGATTAGCAGCAGGTCTATAAAATATCGGGCAGAGGTAGTTCCCTTTATCTACAACCTGGCCCTTTCCAGCTTGGAAGTGTAGGGATTAAATCTATCCTGTTTGCTTGGCATGGTGGTGCTTCATTACTTCCTCATCTAGAAAATATGTACCCCCGTTAAATATATTCACCTTTTCTGGGGGGGGGGCTGATGATCACTGCAATCAACCGTTTATGAAATCTAGCTGGAGAAAATGTCCCACACATGATGCCCATGTTGCTGCCATTTTGAAAAGATGCTTGTTTAAAGGAGGTGGCATCTGACCCTTTTCCCGTGATTTTTGGAAAATCCATATCTTCAATCCACATCTCCATCTGTCGCACCACACCGTGGCTGCAGAACGGACTGCAGTTTTCTGCATCATGTTCTCTTAGGAATGTTGGTCTTTTTTTTCCCTCAACAGAGTTTTGAAGCTGAAGGAAATTGAAAATCATGCAGGACAGCAAGAAGTTACAGAAGACTTTATCATAGAGACCAACCGGGAAAACAGTGTGAGACTATAACAAGGAAAATGGATAAACTGCACCACCACCTTTTTGATTTTCGCATTCTCTTTGGTGTACAGGCACTAACTCAGAGCTGAAATGAAAAACAGTGCAAATCAACCCCTTGCGGTCATAGTAATAAGCAGACTCTGCTGAAGCAGCAGAGCAGCAGGAGATGCTTTGAAATGCATTCAGACCCAACAAAAGGTGCTGTATAAAAAAAAGGCCAGAAGAACACAGATAGTAGCTTAGATGCAGTTCACAAGCATGTGCATGAGACAGATTTTTTTTAATATGCAGGTTAATTTAAGACAAAAAGTTTGCCATGTTACGTGAGAAATCCCTGCTTGAGGAGAAAAGGTCATACATTTGGCCAAGAATAAGTTACTAATACCAGAAAAGAATGGGATTTGCCTTCAGAAAACACAAAAGACCCATCCCTAATATCAAGCAGAACTAAAACTGGAACTTGGAGGGGGAAATGTATTTTATTTTTATTTGAGAGCATGTCAGGAAAGTGTTAGGATGTGGTGGTGCTGCCAGGACGTGGTGGCACTGCGGGCTAAACCGCAGAAGCCTGTGCTGCAGGGTCAGAAGACCAAGCAGTCGTAAGATCGAATCCACGCGACGGAGTGAGCTCCCGTTGCTTGTCCCAGCTCCCGCCAACCTAGCGGTTCGAAAGCATGCAAATGCAAGTAGATAAATAGGGACCACCTCGGTGGGAAGGTAACAGCGTTCTGTGTCTAAGTCGCACTGGCCATGTGACCACGGAAGATTGTCTTCGGACAAAACGCTGGCTCTATGGCTTGGAAACGGGGATGAGCACCGCCCCCTAGAGTCGGACACGACTGGACAAAAATTGTCAAGGGGAACCTTTACCTTTACCAGGAAAGTGTTTCAATTGGATCTTAAGAACCACTAAATGAGTAAGCGTGGCCAAGAAGATGGCTTTAGATTCTGAAATTTATAACCTTATTTTATTTTTCTCTACTTTTTCCTTTTCTCTGCCTCCTCCTTTCCACTTTTCATCGATTCATTTCTGTCTGGAATGGAAGTGGCCTGTGAGGCTCTGGAGAGCATACGATTGTTATCTTAGAGATGTTTGTCTGGACCTAATATTGAGCATCTGGGACATAACATTTGACCGCACTGTGACTTCAAATGACCATGTTCTAATGCTGGGACAGGCCACTGTGACACACCACGTGCCCCCCTCCCGCGCCAAAGAAGTTTTTGGCCTATAGCTGCCATAATTCCTCACCATTATCTCTTCTGGCTAGAGGTGCTGAGACTTACAGGCCAGGTAGCCTCTGTTAGGTGTACAGTTGCTCACCACTGTTCTAGAAAATTAGTACATTGTGGTGAGAAAAGGAATAGGGCATCATTCCACCAGTTCAGAAAGACTTCTTGACTGAGTTGGTCTCTTGACTGCTTTGTGATTATGCTTTGCAGCTTCTCAGTAAATGTGCCTAAAATATAGTATCTGCTATTTTCGAGGCGCAAGGTGCAGCTTTCAGCTTTTTAGGTGCCTCAAAAACCTCAGCCAATTTCTTCTATAGCAGTGGTAATTATGTGGTTAGAACCCCATTTGGAATCTGTATTTCAGATAAAAGTAAATTGAAAGTTTTGGCTTAGCACTGTCCTCAATTCGCTCTTTGTCTTCTCTCCCCCGACCCCCGCGCCCGTATTTTTAATCTCAAAGGTTAACAACGCTGTAACTGTAACCGCTTCTGGCCGAATAGTGAAGAAACGTTATAACATACTGGATGATGATCCTGAACAAGAGGTAACTTTAATTTTGAGGCAGCAGCCTTGAAAATGACAACCGGTGAAATGATCCACATTGCTTGCGTGTGAATACGAGATACTCCTTTCTGATGTGTGCAGCCACGTACATAATAGCCTGTTTATTTAAAATGCCCAAGAAGATATGTCTGGAATTCACTTGGGAAGGAAGAGGTGAGCATTGCAGACACCCCCCTCCCTCTTTTGGGGCAGAGGGTGGAGTAAGTCTCATTGTTTCTTAAAGTTAAAAAGTAGATTGAGACGATTAATCCGAACGTATGGGGAAGGGGGGAGAGGGCTAGCCCTTACCCCTCGGTTGCCACTGTCTACAGGTGGAGAGCAGCAGTTTGAAAAGGAGACCCTTTGCCATTACCTGCGGGGGCCCCATCACATGCCATCAAAAAAAGCTGGCTTCCTAGTGATGTGGACAAGCTCCAAGGGGAATCTTACTTCTGAGTGGAAGGAATTAGTATTCTCCCTCTCCCCTTGTTTCAGATATAGATGCCTCTCACTTTTTTTAATCTTGGATTTCTGAATGGGACTCTAGTTGGCTGATGGTCCCTGAGGAATCTCTCCACAAATTCCGAACATAGCATTCTGCCCCAAGGTGCAGATGTGGTACTAACAGGAAACAATGGATATGGAAATGGGAGGAGGGGGTGGATATAAAGGCTGGCTGTAATCTTGGGGGTCCTGAGAGGAGATGGAATCGGATTGGCTGGTGAAAATTTTGACTGTCCAAATTAACTGCAGACTACTTTGCCTGCAATGAATTTTGTGCTGTTTGAGAGCACGCAGTTCACAGAAAGATGGTAAATGACACACAGCAAGAACACTACGGATTTCAGCAGTGTGCTCCCTGCATCATTAAAAAACTATTTTTGGAAACCATTTTTCACCCTCCATCAGGAACTGTAGCTGAGACGACACAGCCACAAGAATTCTAATTCCCCGGCTTCTGGAAACCATTTCCAGTCTTGTTTCCATGGAAATGAATATCATCTGGGTGAAAACATGGCAAGGGTTCCTTCATGGCCTTTAAAGCCTGTCATTCATTTATATTCAACTACCAAATTTAGAGAGTGAGAAAACACACACTTGCAGGCAGAGCGTTATCCATAATATGTTTCCTGTTCAGTGTTATGGCCTAAATGACGTCTCACAGTAGATGACAACTACTTGCTTGTTTAAAATGTGTCCTTTTATTTTATTATTGGGGACGCATGAATTGAAATATTTGTTCCAATATGCAATATTGAAATGAAAGTAAACTTAAAATTTGGAAATTCTCGAAGTATTAACCCCTATTTATAAATACCCTATTTATTAGGGTGTGTGTGTATATATATTTTTACCTTTTACCCCCCAAAAATGTATATATGCTGACATTACCCCCTTGATTTGAAAGGAAGGAAATCATACATTATTTGAATTCAAAATATTATTGAATCTACACAGGCTGTGTACCAAACTAACAGGATATATCATCAGTATCAATGGCTGCCAGGCTATGTACTGAACTAGCAGGATGCACCAAATTTAATAAAGACGTGCACTATTTTTGCTGAAACACATTGCACTCCAACCATTGGGTGGTATAGGAAGTAGTAAGGTGTCCAACATGCCTAGCAAGTTGCATTAAATTTTTGCTAGCTCGCAGAGGATTTAATCATCATCAGTGTCTACCAGAGTTGTGCTAACAATGACATGCGTGCTAGAGACAGCCAACACAGAGTTGGGGGAGGGCTTTCCCTACCACTTTAATCATTCTGTGAGTGTTGTACAAAAAGGAACAAACCAGGCTAAAGGTCATGTCACCCACCCTGGTGCCACAGCCCAATATCAAAGACCAGTACGCTATTTTTTTTAATCATCATCAATGGAAAACTCAGTGGTGGCCAGAGGACTGGAAAAGATCAGTCTACATCCCAATCCCAAAGAAGGGCAGTGCCAAAGAATGCTCCAACTACCGTACAATTGCACTCATTTCACATGCTAGCAAGGTTATGGTCAAAATCCTACAAGGTAGGCTCTGCTCATTACCCCCAGAATTTTCATTTTTACCCAGTTTGGGGTAATTTACCCCTGTTCCCAGACCACTGATTTAGTGTGTATGTGACCAAATCCCCATGGAGCTAATTTTGCCGTTTAAATAGCCCATATGAGTTGGGGAGTCCAAACCTAGACAATTAATTTTAATAAAGCTTATGTGTGCTTGAAGCTTGATTTTTCTGATAAACTTAAATGAAGCCAATGCACATACCCATGATCCTTTGCACATATAGAGCTCTCAGCTGGGGCAGTTATGAAGAGCGGACATTTTGAGCAACCAAAGCAATGCTGTAGACCTCCACACCTGTACATCAGCTGAGATACTGGAACTATCCCATCCGTCTAGGGCCCCAGCTGAACAGTGCTGGGAAGGAGGCTGCAGCAGCAACCATGAATTACATCACCTTTACAAAGCCAGCCCTCTTCCTCTTATTTCCTATTTTTCTGCACTTTTGCTAGAAAATTCCTTAAAATAAGTCCAAATATATTTATCACGGATTAACCCAGATTCCTTTTTCCCCTTAAAAAAAGACATTCAAGATTGTAGATTATGAAGACGAACTGGATTTGCTGTCCATTGTGGCTGTGACTCAGGTCGGATCGGACGGAGCAGCTCTTCTTCATTTTCACTGTAATGAGCGCGGCACACGGCTGAAGACCATTCCTTTCACAGAATCCTGGGAGGTGCTGAGTATGGTGTAAAGCAGCATCTTCCCCAGGTTCTTGCTTGTCATTAAAACGGATACAGTTTGCCCATTATGGAATGCTGTCATTCTCAGGCATCCAAGGACGTTGATGGGGCCACCACTACCCAACCTCTGCTGGTGGTGACCTGAGTGGGGCCAGGTCTTCTCTGCAGTGAGGGCGTGTTTGCCAAGGAGTTGAGACATGTCCCTGTGGCAACCACATTTACGGACTGTTGCGTCTTGCTTGTAGTTAGATGGAATGTCAACCTCTTTGAAGCTCCTCTGCTCCTCTTTATGCCCTGTGATTGTTTGTTGGGTGCTTTTATTTTTACAGAGTGACTGTACAGTATGTACTTTTGGATATTGGAAATATTTCTTTGAAACACCTTTATGGAGAATACGTTTGCTGGGACTCAGTGGTGCTAGGGAAACAACTTAATTATTCCACAGTACTACTATAGGAAGCCCATTCAAGGCAGGGCTTCAAAATTACACCGTTGAATTTCAAACAAATTGAAAACACATTACTAAAAATACACACAAGACCCACACATTAAGAGCCTGTTCCTTAGCAAAAGGTCACTTGCCGAAAGGTCTCTCTGCTGGCAGAAAGACAGCAAGGAAAGGCCAGCTTTGGTTCCTTTTGATGGGAGTTCTACCACCTGAGCATCGTTGTTCAGAAAGCCCTGGAGGGCACCAAGTTGGAGAGAGCCCACGTTCTGTAATAATTTTTTTTAGCAAATAGTTATTATTAGGGGGAGGGTTTCTATGACGTTGTGTTTTCTCTGCAACCTCTGAGATTATGGGTGGTTCTGAACATGTTTATGAGTAACCTGTTAGAGAAAGGCCAGATTACTCATAAACAGGTTTGAAGTTGCTTGTGGGTTCAAATGTAGGTTGCAGAGAAAATGTGAAATGTCACAGAAGTCCTCCCCCAGTATTATGATGACCCTTGAGGTGATGTCATGTCTGAAATGTTCAACACTGTGCAAGGATCATGTCATATAACTGTCTACCCCACTCTGTAGTTATGTGCTGCCAAGTTGGAACCAATTTATAGCAACCCTGAGAGGGTAAGTGAGGTATTTAAGGAATGGTTTTATCAGTTCCTCAGTGAGCTTCCATGGCAGAGCCAGCACTCAGACCCAGGTCTCCTGAGTTCCTAGTCCATCACTCTGTCCACTAAATCACTGGTTCTTAACCTTTGTTTCTCAGATGTTTTTGGACTGCAACTCCCAGAAGCCTTCACCATCAGCTCTGCTGGCTGAGGTTTCTGGGAGTTGCAGTTCAAAAACACCTGAGTAACAAAGGTTAAGAACCACTGCACTAAATGACACTGAGTATCCTGTATCTCACCCCATCCATCCATCCATCCATCCATCCATCCATCCATCCATCCATCCATCCATCCATCCATCCATCCATCCATCCATCCATCCATCCATCCATCCATCCATCCATCTTTTCCCTTAGAAGGACACAAGGTGGCTTACAACAATTAAAAGACAATATTTAAAAGCTGAAATATAGTGAGAACACAAATATTAAAAAAGAATTAAACAAGTATATTTTAAATGGTCAATATTAGAAGCACATTTAAAAATAGCAGAGCATCCTTTCTAACAGAATTTTTTTAAAAATCCTGTTTATCTTGCAGACATACAACCATGAAGTTTACTTTGACAGAAACGTTATGCTACACATAGAGCAGAAGCCCAACAGGATCTTCAGCTGTTACGTTTACCAAATGGTCTGTAATGACTCAAGGGAAAATGAAGACATGAAGAACAGAGAAGGAGAAGGAGTGATTTGTAAAAAACTGGGAAGAACTTTTGAGTGTTTTTGGAATCTTCACTATTTAGAGGCTTTGCTATGGACAGCATTCAAGCCTTTTTTACTGAGTTTCACCTGAGTAAAAGTAAATACTTTTGCAAATTAAGAATGCATTGCAATATTTATTTTTAATCCTCCTTAGTGTACTGTAATGTAGTTGGAATTATATTTAAGAACCTTTGTTTCTAGGAAAATAAGATATGTACTTGGCCCAAGAGAAGGATTTCTTTTCTTAGAACAATTTCTAACATTTGGAAGAATATGCCAACTTTAAATAGTTGAAAACTGTATTTAATCTATCTATATGCTTAAAGGTACATTTGTCTTCCTTAAGCAACTCCTCTAAAAGAATTTCAACCATTATTTAAAAATTGCTAAAATAATACTCTTTATGTACACCAAGGTTATTTTACTGCTTTGTTGGTTTTTGGTTTTTAAAGGTAAAGGTAAAGGTTCCCCTTGACAATTTTTGTCCAGTCATGTTCGACTCTAGGGGGCGGTGCTCATCCCCGTTTCCAAGCCATGGAGCCAGCGTTTTGTCCGAAGACAATCTTCCGTGGTCACATGGCCAGTGCGACTTAGACACGGAACGCTGTTACCTTCCCACCGAGGTGGTCCCTATTTATCTACTCGCATTTGCATGCTTTCGAACCGCTAGGTTGGCGGGAGCTGGGACAAGTGACGGATGCTCACTCCGTTGCGTGGATTCGATCTTACAACTGCTGGTCTTCTGACCCTGCAGCATCCTCCCGTGGACCTCTCTTCCAAAATGTGTGAGAGACAGTTGGGTTTTTACTGTTCTTAAATTTGTAACATGCCCAGAGTAGACCCCTGGTCTAGATGGGAGGGATAAAAATCTAATAGTTAAGCAGAATCCTTCTTGTTCCTTCTGCTCATGCAAGGATCCTTGGCAGGAGCAGTTGGACAGTCCTTGGATTTGCACCAGGAGGAGCCTCCTGGTGCAAGCTCAGATGCTGACCAACTGCTTGTGCAACATACCATTGCACTAGCATAAAGAATGAGCACAGTTCTGCAGATAATCTAAAAGAAATGAGGGTGCTTTTCATGGGTGTTATATATTGGTTCTGTTGTAAAATTATTGATGCCCTCTTGCATCCACTGTGTGATACCCACCCCAACACTCCCTCATTTTCCTTTTGACCTTTAAGCACTCCCCACACCAGCATCCATGCGGCAATTCTGCCACATTTTGTGTACCTCCTCCCGTGGACCTCTCTTCCAAAATAAAAGTGATTTGGAGGGCTGTTTGAATTTGAAAAAAAGTTCCCTGGATCTAAAAGGAACTTAGAAACCAGACCAACATTCCTGCGCTCAGGAGAGCTGAATGCCATCTGCCTTCTACAGGTCACTGTGTGAGAGACAGTGGGACTGTGGCTGGGTTGCTGCTGCCTGCCAGATTCCCTGAGGGAACTGGCCGGAGAATAAGCTGAGAAATGGGGGTGGGGGTGGGGGTGTTGGGGCCTCTGGGGCAACCAATAGAGACAATATATGGCAAGGGAGGATATGGCAGTGGAAGTAGAGCATGCCTGTATAGGAGAAAGGGGGTTAGATACCTTACACACCTATCCCTCTTTCTAGCTCTACTCCCAGCCAAACAAGACTAGGTGACCCTATCAGCCACCCCCTGGGCCACATGGTACTGTTGGTAAATGCCAGGTTGGCAAAAAAGAAGACCGCCCTTATCCATGATTTAATTTTGGATGAGGGGGCTGACTTGGCATGCATTACTGAGACCTGGGTGGGAAAAGGCGGAGTTCCTGTATCTCTGTTGTGTCCCCCTGGGTACTTGGTCCAGCACCAGGATTGCCCAGAGGGTCAGAAAGGAGGCACAGCGATAGTCTACAAGGATTCCCCCCACTTTTCCAGACTCCCTGTCCCCTTGGGAAATGGTCTAGAGGGCCTGTATTGTGTGTTGGGCTCAAGAGACAGACTGGGGATTCTGTTAGTGTACCGCCCACCCTGCTGCTTGCCAACAGTCTCCCTATGTGAGCTGACGGAGATGATCTCAGACCTGGTGTTGAGGACTCCCAGACTGTTGGTACTGGGGGACCTCAACCTCCATGCCGAGGCCACCTTAACAGGGGCAGCTCAGGACTTCCTGGCCACCATGACAACCATGGGGCTGTCTCAACATGTCATCGGTCCGACTTATGACAAAGGCCATACACTTGACCTAGTATTCTCAACGGAATGGGGGGGGATGATGGTCTGGATGTGGTAGGTTTATCTTTGATCCTGTTGTCATGGTGGGACCATTTCCTGGTAAAGTTTAGACTCTGCCACTACTACCCTCTGCAGGGGTGGGGGAATCAATTAAAATGATCCAACCCCAGAGATTTATAGATCCTGAAGGATTCCTGAATGCTCTAGGGGAGTTTGCAGCTGATATAGTCAGTGCTCCTGTCAAAGTTCAGGTCGCTTTGTGGTACAAGGAGATGGCCCGGGTGGTTGACATGATCGCACCTAGGCGCCTCTCCCTGCCCACAGAGCTTACATGGGTCCATGGTACACAGGGGAGCTTCTGGCTATGAAGCAGTTGGGGAGACAGCTTGAGCACAGATGGAGGAAATATCGCTGCGACTATGGCCAAGCACAGCTTAGAGCCCACTATCAGGCCTACTCTGTGGCAATATGGCTGGCAAAACACCAGCATTTCTCCAGTCGTATTGCTTCCTCGGTGTGTCGGCCAGCAGAGATTTTGAGTGGCCTAGGACCTTCTTCACCCTAATGGTTCGGTGGAGGTCCCGGACTGCTCAGTGGCTCGCTGTAACAAATTTGTTACACACTTTGAGGGGGAAATTGCTCAGATTCACAAAGAGTTGGACTCCACTGTAGATGCAGAGCCTATGGTTGTGTCCAGTCCTCCGGACTTAAGTCATAATTTATTGGATGCGTTTCAGTTGTTACGACCTGAGGATGTGGACAGGGTGCTTAGATCCGTGTGTACCACCACTATGCAACTCGACCCTTGCCCATCATGGCTAATAAAGGAATCTGCCAGGAGAGTTCACACCTGGATCCTGAAGGTCATCAACTCCTTGTAAAAAGAGGTAGTGGTCCCCGCCCCATTAAAGGAGACAGTGATTCGCCCACTCTTATAAAAACCTAATTTGGACCCAGGTCTAGTGATCAACTTCCGACCAGTAGAGAACTTCCCTTTGCTGGGCGAGGTGTTGGAACGTGAAACTTCCGACCAGTAGAGAACCTCCCTTTGCTGGGCGAGGTGTTGGAACGTGTGGTGGCTGAGCAGCTCCAGGCTGTCCTGGATGAAACGGATTATTTAGATTCATTTCAATCAGGTTTGAGGTCGGGTTATAGGATGGAGACTGCCTTGGTTGCCCTGTTTGATGACCTTTGCCTGGAGACAGGGGGAATGCATCCCTGTGGATTCTCCTGGACCTCTCAGTGGCTTTTGACACCATCGACCATGGGGTCCTTCTGGACAGATTGGCTGAGATGGGAAGCACCGTTTTATGGTGGTTCCGCTCCTCCCTGGCTGATAGCGTCCAGAAGGTGGTGCTGGGGGACAGTAGCTCTGATCCATGGCGGTTGCATCATGGGGTTCCTCAGGGCTCTATACTGTCCCCCATGCTATTCAATGTCTACATGAAACTGCTGGGGGAGGTCGTTAGGAGGTTTGGGCTGAGGAGTCAGCAATATGTTAGCAACACCCAGCTCTACCTCTCATTTTCTACCAATCCAGGTGTGACAGTTGCCATTCAGAACTTGTGCCTGGACTGATAATGGACTGCATGAGGGTCAATAAACTGAGGCTCAATCCAGACAAGTAGGAAGTAATGCTGGTAGGTGTTCTGCCAGATAGGTTAAAGGGCCATATCCCTGCCCTAGACGGGGTTACACTCCCCCTAAAGGACAGGGTTCACAACTTGGGGGTGCTCCTTGACCTGGGTCTGATCCTCAGAAGCCCAGGTGGGCTCGGTGTCCAGGGGTGCCTTCTTACAGCTACGGAGAATATATCAACTTCGCCCTTTCCTGGATGAGCGGAGCCTGGCAACAGTCACATATGCACTGGTAAGAACCAAACTGGACTACTGCAATGCGCTATATGTGGGGCAGCCTTTGAAGACAGTCTGGCAACTGCAACTGGCACAGAAACGGGCTGCACAGCTGGTAAATGGTGCTGCCACACGGACTTATATCACGCCGGTTCTGAAAAATTTACACTGCCTGCCGGTTGCTGCTTGGGCCTAATTCAAAGTGCATACAGTATTTTGACATATAAAGCCCTAAATGGCTTAGGACCTGGTTACCTAAAGGACCACCTTCTTCCATACGAGCCTGCCTGTCCTCTAAGATCAGGCCAGGAGGCCCTTCTGAAGGTGCCATCCCTGAAAGAGGTGAGGGGGATGGCATGTCGAAATAGGGCCTTCTCGGCTGTTGCCCCCCCCAACTCTGGAACGCCCTCCCTATAGAGATCCGCCTGGCTCCGACACTTTTGGCTTTTTGGCGCCAGGCAAAGACCTTTCTGTTTAGCCAGCATTTTAATTAAATAGTATCCTTTAGCTAGTCATATGAGCAGCAGGATTTATTAATATTAATGTTTTAATGATTGTTTTTAATATAGGCTATTATTATAATATTGCCTATTTTTAATGGTTTTAATAAAGAGTTAAGTTTTAATATTGTACGCCGCTCAGAGACCGCTGGTAATGGGAAATAGCCACTTCACAGCAAGAAAAGTAAAGGACCACTCTTGCTGAGAAACTCGGATCTCCTTGCCCCCCCCCTTTCAGGCGTTGTGAAAGACACTCCTATTGCTGCTCTACTCTGGGGGGGGGCCTTGGCTCCCAAACAAGGAGAGGCCCCTCTTAAGGAGCCCAATGAAAAGCAATCTGACCTAGCTCCTCAACAAGGTCCATGAAGCTCCAGCCTTAGCAATTAGCGCTTCTCCAAATTCCTCGCTAATTGCCAGGGCTTCTGTGCTTTGGGTGGAGGATTTATTAAAGAACCCTAACTTTGATGCCAACGTACTTCAAAGGCCCCTAATTAAGTTATACAAGCCCTTTGCCTCCATTGCTGATGCTACTCAGGATTCCCTGACCTTGCGGCCCATTCTGTTGCTGC